ACACGGAAACTCGTTCTAATGCAGATATGAGATGAATTCTCATGAATTCTCGTGTATCATTTGGTTTCGTTTTGATGGTAACAACTAGCAACCCAAATAACATCACAAAATGTTTTAGAAATGAAATCATGCACAGCCAGATACATTATTTCAAATGCACAAAGCCTTAAGAGGAAACAGCCCAAGCTGGTTAAAATGTAACAAGGTGAAGAAAAACTGGAGTCCACTGTTGACCATTGACACTAATCAGAGGTTTCACACACACTGTCAACAGAACAACATAAACCCTTTGAGCTGAGGGTCACTAGGACTAAACGGCCAACAAAGCAGAGTCCTGGCAGTGAGGCGTTAAAAACCATAAATAAATGATACCGACGTGAAGGAAGCCGTCACAGCAGCAGCAAACATGCGCTCAAGTTGGCGTGATACCGGATTTGGGGCTGGGGGGTAAGGGCAGAGGGCAGACGGGGGGGGGGCAGCACTTTGAAGTCCTGCAGCCACAGGTTTAAAAGCGGATCAAGCTATTGTGTTAGCCACGCGACGATAACCCAAAAGAAATGGACGCACGGAGGGAAATACACTGATTTTTGGCACCGGGGAAATGTCCTTTTTTTCATATAAAATAATCCCCCCGCTCGTTAACGGGAGCATTTAAAATCCCAGTTCAGCACATTTTTTTAAAGAGCATTCAGCTCAGGTACAAAACACAGCCACTGGGTAAAGCTGATTAAAAGTGTGAACTAAACCACTGTCTCTTACTGGTCACTGAGATGAGATATGACCACAAACGACTGAAATGCTGTTCGTCAGAAAACAGACATGTTTTTCACAGTTACTTCAGTTTGATTACTTAACTGTTTCACTTTAAACCTGCTTTCGCAGTTCGTTTGTTCTGCTTGTAACACAACTAAACTGACCTTGGGTCACAGCTAGCTCTGTTGGGAAGTGCTTTGTGTTTAACCGCTAAAGTTACAGCTTCGTCATCAAGTCGAACCACTGAAAAACACGACTTTTAAAAATCATGCGCCTTTCAACTCGTCGAAAAAACACGAGTTTCGGTGTCCACGTCAACGGCGAGCGTTGTTGTACACGTCTGACCGCTCCGAGCCCGGTTCACAGAAATATTCATTAGAGTCAAAGTAGCTCAGCTTCAGCTCAGTCGACAAACTTACCTGCGAAGAGGCTCAACAGTGAGACACACAACCGGGCCGCTGAAAGCTCCATTCCTGCTCAACTATTCCGCCGCTTGTTCAGTGAAACTTGGTGAAGAACTTGTGCTGAATTTGAAGTGAGACTCGGCAGCTCAGCCCCGACACAGCATCCAAACTCCACACCGCCTCCTCCTTGTCCTCCACTCTGTGCAGGTGCACAGCGAAGCGCGCCGCACTGCGTCACGTGACCGCCGCTTGGCCTATCCATCCCACGACCAGCGACGCCCCCTGCCGGTGCCCATGCTACGGTTCGCTCAACCTGCCCGTGTCTTCTTATCCGCTGGATCTTTGAAGAATGATTTACGGTACAACGGCACTACTCTGTGTGTGTCCCAGCCAGAGGCCCTCACGGACCTTTCCTTCAATGGTTCTCTAAAGATTCCGCTTCAGTCAATCAGGGAACTTTTCTTCACGGAAGTTTATTTTGTGAAACCACAAGACGATGTGCTGGAAGAGAACTGACATATAAAATATTGGATACAGAGTCCAACAATTGACAATCGTACAACATTACTTTAGTTAAAAATAAAAATAAACGAAATAAATAAATCACAAGACTACTTAAGTAACAGTACAAGAAATTTAGCCTCAAGACATACTCAAGTAAGGATGATGGCAGTGAATTCTTGATTGTATTGTTCAGCTGAAAATTATTTTAATTACTTATATTGAGCTGGGCAGTTGTATGTAGAATATAATCTTTAATAATCTGCAAAATAAGTAAGCAACTAAAGCTGTTAATAAATGATCGGGAAATGTAGTAGAGCAGAAGTACGATGACACATTTTGTACTGTAAAACATTTGAGTAACAGTTCTCAGCTACATTCCACAACTTGACTCCCTGCCATCCAGCTGGAATGACCGTGATTATATTTATATAGCATCAGGTAAACTGTTGCCTCAAGGTGCTTTATGTTGAAACCAACAATCAGATGATCATGATGAGCAAGCACTTGGTGAAAGTGGGGAGGAAAAACTCCCTTTGAACAGGGGCAGCCGTCCGCCGTGACCAATTTGGGATGAAAGGGAAGAGAAGAAGGAGAGGAGGCAAAAGACACACTATAAGAGACAACCAGACAAAACTTGAGCAAAAGCCTCACATGTGTGAGGAATACACAAACTGGGAAATATATTTGTGACCACAGTTAAAAAATAAGTTAAACACAGCAAACGTGTAGCAAATTGATTGAATAAGAAAAAGCAAATATGTTAATAAGATCCAAACTAATCTGAAATCAAAAGAAATACCACATGTCATGAACCACTGTCATTTCTTTACACTGCACTGCAGCAGCTTTGAAACAAGTGCACAAATAAATAGAAAATACAGTATGTAAGCTAACAAGAGAGTTTCTGAAAAGCTTGAAAGTCAATGTTTGACAACCTTTATTTTTCAACACAGACTTAACTCTCCCAGACAAGCTTTCCTGTAACTTCTTTAAGTAGTGTTCAGAAATAGTTCTCCAGGCTTTGATCTCTACCGTGTTTTACAGATTTCTGTAGACTCACTGTTGTACTTCTCTCCTGAGCTTCAAACATATTAAACACAGTTTAAACTAAAATTTCAAGTGTGGATTAATCTCCCCATAACATCGTCGTCGCCACTGATTTTTAGTCCAGGTCTTGTGTGATTTTGCATATCTCACGTGGCTGGTAGTAATAGAGTTCCTAAAGATACAATTTTAAATTGTTTGTTAACCTTCCTCTGAAAATGGTCAGGCACAACGACTGGACTGAAAATAAGCGAAAAAATAGCCAATGTCCAAAGTAAACTTTGAAAGACCTCCAGGGAATCTGGAACAGTATTGCTCAAGATCACTTTAAAAAGAGACACAGTACTGTACAATTTCAATTAAAAATAATGTTGTGTATAACATGAAACAGTGGGGCAGTGGTTAGCACTGTCACCTCACAGGAAGCGGGTTCCTGCTTCCTGTTCTCCTTGTGCCTGCACTGGTTGTGTCTGGATGCTCCAGCTTCCTCACACAGTTCAAATCATGCACATTAGGTTAGCTTGTCATTCTAATTTGGCCATGACTGTGAATGGTGATCTTTCTGTGTTAGGCCTGTGACAGACTGGGAACCTGTGCCAGATAGGACAGAGGTAGATCAGTGTGTGTTAAGAGTTGCTGTTTGTTTACTGACCTCCTCCCCACCACAGCTTCAGATGTTTCCAGGTGGCAGAAATAAACAGCTGAAATACACGTAGGGTTTTTTGTTTTTATATTTAGAATTATTGCTAAATTATTCAGGTCTTCTTTGTCAGAAGTTATTAGGTATTTGTTCTGAAACACGGGATCGGTTTCTGTGGGCTTTACATTGAGTTTTACTAAGTTTTCAGAAGACTCCTTCTTCTTCCCCTTAAGGTCTTCGAGTACTCTGTAATAATGATAACTGGTGCAGGAGGAGGGCTAAAAGGAGCCCTGTTGTATTGTGGCAGCCCTGGAGTCCTCCTACAGGTTGGGCTTCTGAGCTCTGATGTTCTACATATTCTTACAGAAAGCAGTTTTGATGTGAGGTTTTACAGCAGAGGAAGGTGACGTTACATCAGTGGGTCTCTCTGGAAAGGCTGTTGGCTTTGTAATTAATTTTCATTGTAAAAATGTATCACACTCTTGTGTTTTAAATGTACTAAATTAGAGAAAAAATTAATAAATGTGTTAATCGATATTTGCACATCAAACATGAAGAACCAATATTCTGTCCAACCATCAGCACTTACAGCTGCAAGTCTTTTGGAGTGAGTCTCTCCCAGCTTTGCACATCGATCAGTGATGTGTTACTTTGTGTTGGTCATTGTCATGGTCCCTGGATCGTGGTTTTGAGTTTTTGGGTTTGGTTCATTAGTTGTCTTTGCTGCCGTTGATATTCACTTACTCTTCTTACTATTTGTAGTGTTGTTGCTTTAGTTTAGTTCATTGTATTTAGAAGTCCCGTATGATGAGTCTTCAGTTCTTGATAGTGATGGCTCTGAAGGTTATTTAGGTCCTTTGTTTTTCTGTTCCCTCTCCAATCCAATTTTATTCATAAAGCACTTTAAAATCCCCAGCACAGGACCAAAGTGCTGTACAGAAAATAAGTTAAAAGCAATAGAATAACACAAAACAGCAAAAATAAATAAATAAAACACAAAATACATAAAAATTAAAACAGCCCTATATTAAACCCCCCCCAAAAACAATCCAAAACAAGATAAAACAGCATAGAATCAACTAAAATAAAAACCCTCTGCCTCTGTTCTGTCATTGTCACGTCATCCATGTAGTTTTGTCTCCTCGCTCTGTTCCTTTATCTTTTTTGCACTGAACTATCAGCATTAAAAGCTTATTTTCAGTTTCACATCTGTCCTGACATTGAATCTTCTAAAATTAAATAAGTGCACAGCAGAATATGACAATTATTAATTATATATAGAAATTGACTGTAGAGCTAATGGCAGGTTATCAGCCAGAGTGCCTGCAGTTTTAAGTAACTTCATCATTAGGAAACTATAAACATAACTAACATGCAATGACTTGTGGAAACATCTTTTTCTTTTCAGGCCAGAGGAACTATCCCTGTGTGTGACCGTCACCCTGGCTGTGCCAGTAAAAACAATTAAACCTGTACCACAAAGGTGTGTTTACCAAAATATTTACCCTGATATGATTACTATTACATCACATCCTCTGAAAAATGTTTATCTAGTTTACACATTTGCCTATTAAATAAAAGATCACAGGTTTGATCCCCTGCAGAGACAAATATCTTGATTTTTTTGCAGGCAGAATGGCAGCCTGTGTGAAAAATCCACCAAATCAAGCAAGGAGAGGGCCCACTGTGGAATCCCCTTGCAAATAAGAGAGCAGCTGTCAAACTGTGCTGTGCAATGTTTCAGTCTGCCGCTGGTGTAGGAGCCCCATCCAGCAGGTTAGCTGATGCTCAAAAGATTTCGTCACATCCCCCACATCTGTGACCATTTTAATATGCATGTCTCAGGTCTGTTATTGAATGTGACTGAAGAGTCACGCAACATTTAGTTGAGATCAGTTAGGAACTGAGCAACAGCTCTTTGCCCGAAAAGCCAGAATTTCTGTCCTGATATTGGACCTCATACACACAACACCAGGGCGAGACACTGTGTGTGCGGGTTTGAGTATTTTCTAGTTGACACCAAAACATACAGAGGGAACAATAATAATAATTTTTTTAAAAATCAATAGAGTTAAAAGAAAGTGTGATATTTGCACTGATTGGTAGCAAGTTGATAGGTGGCAACACAAAGACAAACAGAAGGTAACACAGTATAGGGGAGAAAATCAAAGTGTGTGTTGTGATGCTAGAAGTATTTAATAAAACTCCATAAATTTAAGCCTTTACTTCTGACACAACTCTTCACTATGAATAAATAAAACACTTTATCACAAAGGACAGTCAGTGGCAAACATAAACATTTCCCTTAGTAAAAATACAGTACTTCAAGACTATACGTGTAGTATTCCAATATCAATATCTAATTTAATACAAGTGATTTCCTCCAACTATAACAAATAGTCTAAAGTGCAAAACAGACTTTGTCAAAAAAACATTTATAAAAAGTTCATGTTTAAAAAGAAACAACAACAAATGGTCAGTCATATTAAAGTTGCCTTCAGGTTTAATGTCCAGTGTGAACAATAAGCACCATGATTCCTAACTGTAACAATGTGCCAGATTTTTGTGTGTTTCCCAATATCCAGGCCCTCTCCTGTACACAGGAGGGACCCACAGGTTGTTCCTCAAACTGTGTGGGGCTCTATTCCGAGGCCTGTAGCTGTAGTGGGGCTGTGGAGGGATATGACCTTTTCCTGGTACCATCTTTTTGGGATGCCATATAGGAGCACATGGATTCATTTTCTTAAACGAATAAAAAGAGGAAAAATAAATAAGTTACATATATATAAGCTGCCAATTATAGTGGACAAACCAAAAAACAGTCATAATACTGTAGCTAGATCAAGCTTGACCAAGTCAAGTAGGTACTAGTGTAAGAGGACTATTAGTTGACCAAGTTTTCATTGTTGAAATGGTTATCATTTATCATTATCACCTGGCTCCTTCACTCAGTTGATCAAGTATAATTTTGATCATTTATGGGCTGAAGCTGAACCCAAGAAGCATAGGTGCAAATTTGGCATGCAAACATACACCATCATTCACCAACTTCATGCATGAAATATTCTTTAAAACAATTCATCCAGGCCTTGGCTAACCATTTAGCCAGAGTGCTTACTGCAGTGTCTCCTGTTCAGAATCATTAGCCTGTGTTATCAGGAGTCTTGCTTTGTGTGTGCACTCAAATATTCATTGACAGCAGCAAAATGTTTCCTCTCATAAAAGACAGAATATATGTGAATGTAGGCAGCCCTCATTTCATGACAGAATACCTGGGAAGCAGAGCATCTGCTGGGGATAGTGAGGGGAGAAGTGCGGGCACTCTCCTCATCTGAAGAGGAACCAGAGTGGTAGTCTGATGTCACCCTCTCCAGTGCACTGGTCACCTTCTTTGAAACATCTTTGCCATCCTCATCATCACTTGAGAAAGTGGCAACCGAGAAGCAAGGATTTTGCTCACCATACCTAATAATTAGGAGAGACATCAATAATTATTACCTTTAATTAAACACTTAGTAGGAAATTTGTTTAAGAACGGTTTTCTTTAGGGAAAGCATATTACAAAACAAGAAGCGCCGTCTTTGTTCATAAGCATCTAATAACGATAAATGCAGGTAAAAGATTTTTTTTTAAATTAAACAAAGCCACCAGTTTATATCCAAGTTTCAACAAAATGTTTAACTGCTGTTTCATAAAGATAGTGTTTTCTTGTTGCCAGTAGTCTCGTTTGAAATCACAGGAAAGCCTTGGGGTTAATGAAACTGTATTTACAGCCTCTTTCACCACTGCGCATGAAGCATGTGAGGAAGATTAACGTGAATGGGTCATCTCACGTTAAAAACCAGTTTGCCTTAATTATTGAGTGATACCAGGTTTAGATTAATGAGAAAGCAATCAACCGAAGCACATTTAAGCGTACAAGATTTACAAACTCTTAATCTCACCTGCAACAAACCTCCCCAGGGTCCGCCCACAATGTGAGTTCACGAGGAAGTCCCAGGTCACTGTACTGGATACCACTCTCACGACAGGCCCGAAGGAGCTCTGGATCCTGCTTGTGAAATCTGTTCACTCGGATGCACCTTCAAAGCACACACACAACATAAACTGCCTTCAGCTTAAACGTGCCACCAGAACAATCCGAGTTTTACTCATTTGCATCCCAGAGCAGCCCCACCTGTATGCTTGTCCCTTGCTGGGGTTTTCAGGATACCAGTGCCCCTTAAACTTCTCCTGCAGTGCCACAGCCAGCCTCTCAACAAACAGCTCGACCATCTCCGCTTCCAACTTCTCCCCCTTTTTCACAAGCCTCTTCAGAAAGAACACCACAGCTGCAATCTCTCTCCTCATATTTTACAAGTGTTTCATCACGTATGGACAGCTTCTGTAATGAAAGGCATGTGACAGATCATGTAAAACAAAATAGATATACAGGTGTAGATCCTACCTACAAAATGTTTTCTGATGCCCAAATTGGAAAAAACTAATTCCACTTTACAGTCTATCACTGCACTATTTTAGGTGGTTTGACCGTTTTAACTATTCTGTATATCCAATGCCAAAACTCCCTCGGTATCAACAATACGCCTGTGTTCACGTGGCAACACCTGCTGTTGTAGGAAACATCTTTAGTTTAAAATGTGGACATCCTTTTGTTTATGCCCTGCTGCCTTCGGTTAACGGTTCGAACCAGAGAAAGGCGGGCTGAGACGCACAGGTTCCATTTAGCCACGCACTTGCCTCGTTCCATAACACGAGCTACTGCTCTAAATGCGCTATTTACGGAAACGGAACACGATAAGGCCCAAGTAGCGTTTAAGTTAACTTCAGCTGAGGTTTAAGTTATCGTTATGATAACTATATTCCCACTGGTAATTACAGCCTGTTAATAAAAGCGTAAGGATATTATTCCTTCAAGACGTTGTGGACCTGTTAGCATTAGCAACACTGCTAACGTGGTCATGCTGCTAACAACAGCATTATAAATTTGGCGATGAAATCTACAAACTCAAAAAATATATTTGTATCCTACAAAAAATATATTTGTATCCTAAAAACGCTTATATTAATAGGTTCGAATATAGACTAAATATGTAAAACATTTCACTAACCTCTCCTTGTGGTCTACACCGACATGCGGACTAAAACGGATGCTTAACAGGAGGAAGCAACAGAAGAACCCGTCAGTTTTTGTTATTAACTCCGCCCTTTACAACCCAATCCCCGCCCACGGATAATTTTTATTGGTTCCATCCAACTCAATATAGCGCGTTCATTGGTCGAGTGTATGCCCGTCTTACATAATGAGTCATTCACGTGATTGTTATGACTCATGGTGAGGTATGTGTTTGTTGCTTATTATTACTGTGGTTACATCCTCTGATGTAATTTCATCTTAACACTGAAGAAAGAGAAAGTAGTTCTTCGTGTGGCTCAGAAGCAAAAGATGAATTTATAGTTTAACTGCGGGTTGCCATGGGAAGCTATTAAAGTTAGTAAAAGCTGCAGTTTATGATACACCAACTATGTATGATACAACGTGTGATAATGAGTAACAATAACAATTTGATAGTTTTTATTTTTAAAGACTTTAAAAGTTTAAAGTTCTGGGGTTTGTTTGTTTTTAAATTTACTTTTTAACACAACGCTGAGTCAGGGATTGTCGCATCCATTTCCTGGAAATAACCCTTTTTAGCGGCATTGCTTGACGTAATACGCCCATTCGCCCACTTGAGTGCGCTAGACCTCTACAGAACCCCAGACTGGAACCAGCACTTTGTCTCACGTTGTCTATGCATTCATCAGCTTCAAATCCAAAGGTGCTTTTGGTGGCATGGCTGTTTATGAAAATTAGATTCCCAGAATGTTATAAAATAACACAAAATAAAATAAATGAACATTTCACTTCAATATTCTCAAACTGTACATCGCATGCAGACGTGTGCACGCCCATGTTATTAACTGTCCTCCAGCATGTTCATATATACAGGACAGCCACATTTGCCCTGACTGCTTCACACAGGAGTATTTATAATTTTTGCTCAGCTCACTAAAATTTGAAATAAGACAACTGAATTGGTTATGTAAAATAAAATAAAATGTTGCACAGTAAGAAGTTATTCTTGTGGGTTTTGTGATGCATTGTGTTTTAAAAATGGCATAGAGATTTCTGCTATTAGTATGACTTATTAACATCTGATCTGTATTTGTAATTTCATTTAGTTGCTTATCCTGGTAACAAATAAAAATAGTCTTGATGATTGAAAAAGCTGCTGTCTGGATCAATATCACCTAGAATGTCTTGTGGTCACTGTTCAGTGGGAACAATGGTTTCCAGTTCTCTCAATGCATTTATATCCTATATTCCTGTATACAAGATGCATTTTCAATATAGATATTTCCAATGTGACAAGTTATTGTTAAACCATGTATTAAATATACTCAGGAAGCAGCTGCACAACCATATGACTGAGCGAAGGGACTACACAAGTGTTACTTCTTCCCACGACTTTTTGAGCACCTGTTGTACTACGGGACACTATTTTCCTTCCTGTATAAATCTGTATGCATATGCTCAAAATAAACGATCTAGTGAAATAAATGAAAAAAGAAGTTAGCATTCCTTATTTGACTGAATCATTTACATTTTAAGTAACGGAGGAAATCCATCTTCATCTCTCACCCAATGCCATTAAGAGCTTATGTGTATATATTAGTCTCTAGCCATCATTAACCCAGCCGTAACTTTTCTTTGTCCATGCTGCAGTGGCTACAATGAAGAAAACAATACCATGTTCTAGCATGTAATAAAAATAGTTTTTATTTTATTTTGCAAAAACAAAATATACAAATGGTCACTTAAGCACAAACCACTTAATCTGTGTAAGATCCATAAAATGCACACAATAAATAAAAGAGAAAAATCACAAAAATACCACAAATGCAGAGATTTTCAAAATCAGAGAACAAATCAACAGTCCAGTCTAAATAAAGAGAGTGGAAGTATTTCAGGTATGGTAACAGTAGAAGATCATAAAACCACCAAAAAAAAAAGAACAAGAGATCAAAATCAGGCAGCTAGAGTTTCCTGCTGAGCAGGGGCACGAGCCCAGGCATGTTTCTGTAGCACGCAAAAACACAGCATTCACAAGCAAAACACACATAACAAAAACCCCAAAAACCAAAGACTTAAGGACTGAGCTTTAGGACCAGGAATCTAAATATTCACTCTCTCAAGCACTGAACACAGGTATCCAACTAAAACCAAGACTACAATTTAAAATGGAGATAAAGTCTTTTAAACCCCAAAATGGGCTAAACACATTTAATCTCTTACAAAGAGAACGCACAACACTTACAATGCTGAGTTTTTCTAAACATCACTCTAACCTTGTCCTTTCCCAGCTTATTATATTTTGAGTAGCTCTGTGAGCCCTGAAACACCTATAATCAATATATATTTCATATTTATAAGGCTTCTCATTTATTTGTCTCCTCCTTTGCATAGGGTCCTGAAGAACATACTAAATCAAAAACTGTCTCTACATCTCTTGTTGACTTGTTTAGGGACCTGCAGAGACACAGGGTACAGCAGACTATCCCATATGTGTTGCTATGACATCAACTTAGCTCTTTAACACATGAGAGGGCAAGCCAACGTAACAGTGAAGATAAATAAGAACACATACGCTGAATACACACAGGAACGAATTGTTTCAAAAGCTGTTCAAAAATCAAACGTTTGTAATTCACACACAAAACAGAACAAATAGAAACTTTGGTTTGGCAGCCTGTTCACTTCCATTCAGTGCATAGCCTCTCATACACAATGGTTAAAAAACAAAAAACACAGCTTTGTATTATACAGTGAGCAAATCCTGTCAGCAAGAATAGTTCCAATAAACCCAGAAGCTGAATTAAATCAAAAGTTTTCACTTTTAGGATTTCAGATACTCTGATTTGTCTTTTACAAACTGATGCTCTTGGTGTCATCGTGCACATTTCCAGATGAGAAATGACCCGTAGCCATTTTTCATAATGTCTTATTTGGAATAAGTGTGGCAAGCAGACACATATAAGTACTTGCCACTGCTTGTAGTGACACGTATAACTATTTGAAACTTTGCCAGTTACGGTCGTAGTCTGTAGTCAACTTTACAATAGACATTTCAACCCATAATACTGTCAGTAGATGCTAACTTGTTGGGGCTTTCCATGACATTAATAATCAAACTGCTGGCAGTGGCTTATAGTATGATTGGGACGGTCACTGTTCATTTGAAATCATCCAAAAAAACAAACAAACAAAAAACAGAATCAAACTCTCAGAATCCAAAACAAAAAAAAAGGAAAATCCACTGTAAAACTGAAATGTGTCAGAAAACTAAAACAAAAGTACGATGATAACAAATGTGTTTGGAACATTTTAAAACTGTTTTTCAGTCTTTGAAAATAATAACATATTTGAAATTAAAAACGTGATCTTGTCCATTAAAAACAGCCTCATCCAGTCCCAGGAACCTCTGTGCTGCTTTTTACCTGCTGCTAACATCTCATGTGAACTCGGTTCGGCTGGAATTCAGAGCAGAAAATCACCTTTAAACCTCGCATCATCACTCCAACCATGAAAACAAACACCATGTCAGTCCAGCCCTTAATGTTGCTCTAGTGTCCTCCAGGTTACACGTTCTGCATTCTGCAGTCTGAAGTGTTCGTCTGTTTCCTCCCAGCAGCCAATCAAAAGCCACCTCCCAGCACCTCACTCCACAGTGCTGCTGCTGCTGGCCTTGACCCCGGCCCTGCTAATGTGCAGCCAGGGCAGCTTGGCGCAATTTTTAAAGAGCTGTTCGATGGCAATGTGACGCACGTGCAGCTCAGATGCCAGCGAGTCTTTCTCCTGCACGGCAACTGTCAACTCCTCAAAGACCTCTGTGAAGAGAGAGAGGAGGGGTGGATAGAGGGGATCAGCATTTTTATTCACAAGGCGCGCACACACACACACACACACACACTGCAGATCATTAAGTCGCGGGCGGGCTTATGTAGTCTTTCAAATTATTAAACATGAGCAATTAACATCCCCATCTGCTGTGGGTACATTTGTGGAAGTGACTGCTCTTAAAGGGTGAACAAAAATGTGCAGGACACGCTCCCACTAGGACGTTGGGAGGACAATATCTCACATTAGCTCAGGTAATTTGCCTCTTGGCAGCAAGAAGAATGATAATTTTACTCATCCAAAAGAATCAAGAAAAAAAATAACATGACAGTTTAATAATGATTAAGCTGCTCATTTAAGCAGCTGTGTGATAGGTCACTCAGAGGTCACATGGTGCGCTGGACCTCTTGAGATAAGAAAGCTGAGATAAGCAGCAAACAATGGCTCTAACAGAGCCGGCAGTGGATTCAAGGAGATGATGTGTTGACCAGAAGCCTTTTAGTCTATTTCAGGCACTAATTTATTGAGTATTATGTTCTGAATCGGGGAGCTAAAAGTCAGACTGGGAATTAAAAAGACCCTTTCACTAGAGCAGCTTTTTTCCTGAGGGCACCAAAAATCTCATGTGGGGATTTATCAGAGAGGAGGATTTCACACTGAAGCAAAGGTTTTTAAAAATGCTTAAAATATAGATGACTATGACTGCTGAGCCTTCTGTGAAAGGAGCTGTTCAATCAGGATATCAGTAAAAACCACTTACTCTGAATCTGCAGGAGTAGCTGGGCATTTAGCTGATGGAGCTCATCCACACTCATTTCAGTCACTAAAAGAAAAGAGATCACTTTTAATGGTGTGTGAGCACAGTGGATGTCATTTAGAATAAGAATAGACTTTAAACATGCTGCAACACTTGTGCTACTTGTCGATGTCAGAAATTGTAAATAATACGCACTAAAACTTCATTTGCTCTGTTTAAATAACTGCAAAGGTCTGTGCCATCTCAAGTGTCAGAGGGTGATGCTGTTCTCCTGCGGAAATATCCACAGTTTAAACAGTGTACCTGTGAACTGCCTGTCATCTTTCACTTATAAGCAGAGAATTTGAAAACTGCTGGCCTCTAACAGGCTCAGTCACATCCTGCAGGATCTGTAGTTATAAACAGCTTTACTGGAGATGAGACGTGAAGCAGCCAAGGACACAGCCTATCTCGAGGTTAGAGGAAAATTAACCTCTCTCTGGAGAGATCACAGCTAAG